GTTCTATACATCACTAAGGGATCCTTTAAGGAAACTCTCCCAGGGTCCCTCTACAAGACACAATAATCTGCTGACGTGGACGAGCCCTCTCATTCCCTCCCCCCTTACCCCCAGATTCAAAAAACCCGTCGATAAACCTCGCCTTTTGTTCACTGACGCTGCAATCTACAAGGAGACTGGGGAACTTCGTAACTTGGCAACTGCCTTGAAATTCACAATCGGAACGAGGACCTGGGACGAAGTCACCCACCTGCAGGCCCGCCAGCAACGTCTCGCAGCACCGCTGGGTCAGGATGATGCCCCTGCTGTGGGTGTACAGCTTCAGGTGCTCGCCGTCAAAGTGGACCGTGTGCCTCTTGTCGCAATCGCACGTGTAGTGGTACACCTGCGTCTCGAGGGTCCACTGCGCGTCGTAGATAGTGACGCCCTTCTCCGGCGTGAGCCTCCACGTCGTGAGACAAGGTGGTGGGGCTTTCGGGCAGGGGGCTAGGAGTCTGCCCCCAGCGCCCAACTCCTTAAAGTCGGAGTACCCCATCTGGCTCAACCGCAGTGGGTTCCTCAGAGCAATGATCACGGGGTCGTGGACCCGTTCGTCCGCTCGGAGGACCCTGGGCACCGTTCGCTGCACGCCCTTGGCGAAGAGGCTGAGCACCGGAGCCGATTGCGATGGTCCGCTATCCCCGTGCACACACAACCCCACGCACTCCACGCACACCGGAACCGAACCCTCCTCGAACGAGTCCGCCGGCTGCTCGGCCGTGCTAAACAAGTCCACCTTCGGATGCGCGTCGAAGCCCTTACCCCTCCTGCTGGCGTAATCTCGCTCCCCTCGCTCGACGTCCGTGACCGGCGGTGGCTCCGCGCACCGTTTCACGGCCTGCGCGGCACTCTCGAGCTCCTCCTCCGACCCCTCCCTGAACTCCAAACGATCTCGGCACTCGCAGCCCGGCCGACACTCTCGCACGCCGCCCTTGTCCTCCGGCACGGCCAATCCCCGCACGTGCCGAACCGTCTGCTCGTCGAACACGCGCGGCGGCGCTTCCCGGAGGACCGCAGAGAGCCGAGGCAACCACTCCGAAACACCCCTGACCCGCTCTGCGGCAGCTTCGGCCTCGTCCTGCGTGAGCGTGAGGCTACGGACCGGGGTGAACACCTCTGCCTCCTTGAGGGCTTTGCGCACTCGTT